TAGAAATTAAAAACCAAACACCCAATTTTTATCTTATAGAAAAGTATCAATTCTTCCAATTGACAATGGCAACAATCGGTACAAAGCAAGAATGACCTCCAAAAAATTAGGGAGTTTTTTCAAGTGGTAGGCGTTTTAATTGTTATCATTACCTCTAGTTGACTTCAGGCTTCACAGAGAGGACGAGGCACATCAAAGTAGCAGAAAGTCGAGGGGCGGGGAACAGAAGAGCGATTCACAGATGTAAAAGTGACAGACAAAGGTAGAAAAAAGGTGAGATGAGTACCGTGAAAGGGTTCGAATATGACATATAGTGGGGTCATGATAGTTTGAAGTCAGAAGTTAACTGCCGGTTAATAGACTTTTTTGCCGCATGAGTATACGTTACCCTGGGTGCACCACGTGAAGGTAAGTCTATCGCTCACCCCATAACTAAGGAAATAAAGTAGGAGATTTTACCATATCTCCCCTTATTGAGCAAATCTTGTCCCATCCGAATATCTCATTTTCTGATTCATTGAGAAAAAAATGGGATTTCAGAATGCCAATGAGGTGGATAATCACTTTAAAACGGAAATTTTTTGCAAAAAAGGAATCGAAAAGCTATGATAACAATTTCATGAAATCATATTCAAATAGCATTTTAATGATGTAATGCCTGAATAATGATAGAGCATCTGAAGGGCCTAGTTGATTGTTTCAAGTGGAGAATTCAGTTTACTCAATTGACGTTGTTCAACTGCTTTCCTCTTTGAATTTAAATCAATAAGGTGAAGTAATGCCATCTTCTTCCTATACTACTTTCTTCGGCTTTTCACCACAAATTCCCCTGTCGGAAAAAAGCTTTTTGGTTACTTTTGGTCAACATGACCTTCGCGAATTTAAAAAGGAAATGTCTTTTATGCAATGTAACTCAAACGATAATTCGTGCTCATATTAACAGTGTTCTATATCGCATTTCATTACTCAAAAAGCATTAGACTACTCAGGGAAACAGAGAAATCACTTTAGTTTTGCAGTAACCGCGTACGAAAACAACATTCAATGAAATTGAGCAGCAAAAACCGTCGATGTCAGTTGGGTCATCAAGACTGCAAAGCTGTCAGTTGAAAAGGAAATTGGTTAGTGCTCTTGGCAGGCAGTAGATTGCTATCGCTGGTAATAGAATTATAAATACGATGAAAACAAAATTTTATTGATTACAGGGTTATAAAGAACAGCCTTACAAGTCGTGGTCACGTGTTCGATGACGATCGATTGAGAGGGGAAAGGAAAGCCAATAGAATAGAAGTTTCTCTCCACGCAAAATCAGGGTTGGTTAATTATATTTTTGAATTAATGTATACTTAATTTTCTACCAAATTTTCGGAATTTTGTTTGGGTAAGGTGAAAGAAGAAATAGGGACAAAACCCGAAAAATTATATGTAGGTAAATAAATGTGTGTCATCTCGTTCACTCATCTCTCGGTTTAATCCGAACATGGGACTTATCGCGAATGTGAGGTACATTCTCTGTGGGTGAAATTAAGGTCATGTAATAGACTAAACCAACAAAATCAACTTTCCTATTTGGCTCGGTTGTCAGAATTGGCATGCCTTCTATCTTAGAATTAAAGACCACAAATATCAGAAGTCTAACATATTTACTTTCACAAATAAAAGAAACAATCAACGGCAATAATAGGTATAGCATTAAGGTCACATGTTTGTCTGTGGGTAGAGGTCAACTTGGAGGCCAATAGGGCTAGAAATTATAGTACAACCGCATGACCAGCTCAAATTGCTCAAATTGATTCAGTTCTTGTTAGGGAAGCTCAAACAAGATCTCACGTAGGTATGTATAGATCTTCTTATCGATGTGTGAAATGTCATATCCCTTTTAGTTTGTTGGTGTCGTTGTGGTGAAAATGCGTGCTGGCATCTTCAGAAGTCAATTAATCAATACCTAACCGCCTAAATAATTTATGGTTGATTGTATATGTGTTGAAAGTCATATTAGACTAAAAGATCTCGATGGAATAAAGTTTTGAACTCATAAATAGTGGAAGCAATTGAAATCGGGTATCAGGAAGCAAAATGGAAGGATATATTCGAAGAAATATAAAATTTATGGAAAGGTATTAAATGATCTTGGGCTCACTTTTCTAATTCGTTCACAGAGTTTCAGCCTTTCAGTGTTTCTCCTTCTTCTTCAATGAAAAGTGAACAATTTTAAAATGCTACAGCAGTATTAGAGAAGTGCTTAATTGAGGGAGACCTTCAGTGACTGCCTAATTAAAGCCGGCAGGTTCGACTTTTAGAAGTGAGAGGAACACTTGTCCAATCTAAGCCGAATCGAATGTTTTCAACGCCCTGAGGGTAGAGCTCGTGAAATTTCTGTGAAAGAATCGATTTCTTTTCAGATCAATTGATTTTCCAATTGCCTTCACTGCTGCCTTCGCGGGCTACAAAGTTCATTCACCGCGCACTTTCCTAGCAATGTGAAAAAAGAAGGTCTTTTTGGAAATTTTTGAACTAGACAGTACACATCACTGACTGTACTCAATGCTATATAGAATAAAATTAAGTGCGGTTAGTTTAAAATATTTCAGATAACACTATTATAAACAGTAAATATAGATGTGCTGATCAGCAATAGTTCAGTCTGGGCATTAAGATTGACATGTTCCATATTTAGTACTTATTGTAAAATTTTTCCCATTGTGAAGATAAGCCCCTTCACACTTCATTCCAAGATGAGGGGAGGGGGAGAGGGGGGCGGGGGGGATGCGTTAGATTTACCTCCACGTAGTGCACCCATACCCATAGGCAAACGTCTATAATCCACAGCTGATTTCCTACTTCATAGTACTATGGCCCGATTGTATGTCGTATTCGACCTCTTTTACAGTGCTCACCTCTCCTCATCTTTTCCTCTACCTTTTTGACTGTCTGCCTGTCTGTCTCTTACATCTGTGAATCACTCTTCTCTTCCCTCTCTCCACTTTTTGTGGCTTGGTTTTTGTTCATCTCCTCTGTGTGAAGCCCGAAGTCAACTAAAGGGCTTATGATAACTATTATAATGATAACTGCGGGTTGTGCGATAGACTTACCTCCACGTGGTGCATCCTGAGCAACGTATACTCATACGCCAAAAAGTCTATAAACCGGCAGTTGACTTCTGACTTCAAACTACCATCACCCCTCACTGTACGCCATATTTCATCACTTCCACAGTACTCATCTTACCTTCTATCCACCTTTTCTACCTTCGACTTTGAAACACTCTTCTGTCCCGCCCCCCCCCTCTCAACTTATTTTTCTCTTTGATGTTCCTTCCCCTCTGTAAAGCCTGAAGTCAACTAAAGAAAGGCTAATGATAACCATCAAAATGCCTTTCATTTGATATAAATAAATAAATGCTTGGAGAGGGAGGGGAAGGTGGGAGACTGGAATTCTACCAATCCTCTGACTTGGCAGTCGTGTACTTTCGCAAGTACGCTAAAATCCGTTCTTTGATCAGCATTGAGAAATGGACTCATACCCATTTATTAGCTCAAAAATAGAAATTCTTTAAATAGAAGTGGTAAAAACGACGATACAAAAATACACTCAGGGATGGCGGGGGTATTTTAAAATCCATATGAACACATTCACACAATGATCGATCACAGTTGATTTCATTCAGCAGACTCGGGTCTGAAGTAATTCCGAATTGACCCCAGTCCAGAAACAGGTCTCAATGTTGACCTTCGTCTTCTAGTAGGTAACTAAAATCGAGGAGAGAGTTAGAAGAAATCAAGAACATACCGAAGGTGACTGCGAAGTGGTTGGGACAAGCGTTCGACGACGCCTTCGTGGGGTTCTTTCGATTACCTCCGAATCCCTTGAAGTATTTGCAAGCTCACTTGAGTTTTCACTATCAGATTCGTCGATACTCTTGGATTCGGAAGAATGTTCGCGGCTCTGTTCTAACGGCCTTTTCCTAGAGGTTGTTTGCCCCTAAATGGAAACAGGACAAATGATATTGGGTTAACTTAGAAGAAGAAGAAAAAAGTAGATTCAAAGACAAAAATAGAAAACTATTGACCAGGTTTGCTATCATATATTTGTTGCGTTTATTTTTAACCATTTTTTAACCTGTCGTAAATTCACTTCCCCTCACATATTTTTCGGTAGGGGGTGTGCGATAGACTTACCTCCGCGTGGTGCACCCTGGGCAACGTATACTCATACGGCAAAAAAGTCTATAAATTGGTAGTTGACTTCTGACTTCAAAATACCATGGCACGACTGCTTGTCATATTCGACCGCTTCCACGGTACTCATCTTACCCTTTTCTCTGCCTCTGTGTCTGTCTGCCTCTTTTACATCTGTGAATCCCTCTTCTGTTCCCCACCCCTCGACTTTCTGCCNTTTGATATAAATTATTCCAAGGTTTGGAAAGCTGTTTAATTCTGCTTGATTTTGAACCACCTACATTATCGTAATATGCCAAAGCTAAAACTAGATCAAATTGCCGGATCAACTGCTGAAGTTTGCAACTGCTTGTAACGGCTTGGTGCCAAGTGTGCACCCCAAAACCAGATGTGNGGTTATGACGGGGGGGGGGGGGAGGGGGAGGGGGAGGGGGCGGGTGATTTATGAAGGTAAAACACTTGAAATGAAGCACACACTCTTGCAAAAGCATATTGGTTATCCCAAAACTAGGTCGTTAATGGGATCCTGCTTTTGCTTTTTCCTTATTCACGAAATAATTGCATTTTAATAACTAACTTAATTGACTTTGTTCGTCAATACTTAAACGATTATTTATTATAACGAACAGTTTAATAAGGATATAATATTAAAAAATTGAACTTTAAAAAGAGGTGGATAATGTCCGAATAAATTTGCTATTTGACTTAAATATTTCTATGAACATGATCTTATATGAATGTAAAAAAATTTACATTTTGTTACTGAGTTCATTCCTGGTGTATATGACGGTTATCATACAAGGATGAAAGTAAACTTCATAGAATTCTATCCTGAAAAGAAACTTAATCTCTTGACATAGTGTTATATTTTACACCATCGTGATCTTTTTCACCGTCAGGGTACTCAAGGAGGATATCTTTGTTTGAGAATACCCAAGACATTTGTGTCAGCGTTGAACTAGTTTTCAAGAATGGAGTTTTGAGTTCTCTTGTGGTTTCCTGCTGCCTTATTTCAAAACACGAATGTCAAGAGAAAGCTAACATCTGAAACTGTACAAGATGTAAGTTATTGTAAGCTAGGCTCTACATCATTCAAATTAATTAATACTTTTTAAATTAAAACGTTTTTTGTAACTCACCCATGGCTTCAATATAGGACTTGCCCTCTTAACTATTACTCAATAATTTTTAAACGCATTTGGGCTGATCTGAGCAAGTATTCCTGTATCAATCTATTGCCAGCCTTACAGAGAACTGAAGTAAAAGAAATATTAAAGATTTTCCTTCACGAACAAAGATTCAATTTACCCCAAACAAGGTAGAATTAATTTTCTTTAACAATTGAAAAGGTTTATTATTGCTTCCATACTACTATCGTAATTAGCCCAAAGCGATATCATTAACCTGAAATTGTTTTCTCGTAACCAACTTTTTTATGAATGACAGGTAGTAAAAAAATTATTTTTGCAAATTATTGCTATTTAATGCCCCCAAAAGTTGCATTTATTTGGCTCCATTTAAGTTCAATCTGACAAGTAAAATGGCATTAATTAAACCATTATTTTTAACTCGAGAACGAAAATCCTATAAACTAATTAGTGGTGCAATCTAATAGCCATAAATACATTAATTAATAAAACGAGAATTTCAGCAATAGGTGTGAAACAGCATCAATATATTTAATCCGGTTAAGTCGATTCCTTAATTTCTTGCTTCATTGTGGGCTTTTTCAAAATGAATTGTGGCGATGCACATTCCGAAAATAACAATGTTACTTTTTTGCTATGATAGAAAATTAATTGGTCAATAGGAAAGATCTGGAGATTGGTGTCATCAGTTTTACCTCACAATTAGTCGTATTGCTAGTATCGGTTAATCGACTATCGATTTAATTTTCGGCTGAGTGCTAAAAAGACGCGATTGGTTTTTAGTACCACGTGCTAAAGGTTAAATGCATTAATCAATTTCTTTGTCTATTAGCCACAAAACTTGAACAGCGGTTTTCCAAACCAAGAATGAACATGATTAGGATCTTTTAGCGAATGTAGAGTGGAGAGGGGGGAGGGGAGGAGAGGATGGGGCGGTTGGGGGTGACGAAATTATGGTCTTAAAAGGGGTCAGAAGATTAGTGGGCCAAAGATGAGGTAGCGAGGGGGGGGGGGAGTACTTAGGATGCACATAAAATGAACACAGTTGGCCAAAGGTAGAGCTGATTTTTGACCGGGCCTAAAATAGTCATTTGGCTGATGTTTGACTGAGAAAACACTCGGCCAAATACATAGTTCAGACAGATACTACAGGCAACCCTCACCCCCCCCCCCCCCCCCCCCCCCCCCNCCCCCCCCCCCCCCCCCCCCCACCCCCTTCGTCAGACATTTGGACGGAATTCGCAATGTTTTGATGACATGCAGTCCATTAAATTTGTTCGCATATTTCTTTTCATATACTAGGAAACTTGTGGATATGGGGAGGAAAAAATCAGATTCATAAAGTGGCAATTGGTATTTACAAAGTTTAAATAGGCATCGCTTTCACTTATTGGAAAATTGTATTATGACAACTGATGATCTTGACAGTTTTTGTGCTTCATACACATTATAATCTGATTGTGGAAGAAAATAAACCTCTTAACCACCCCCCCCCCTTATAAGCGAATCCATTGGAAATCGATTTCTACAAGATTTTTTTTTCTTTTTAGGGTCTACCTGGCTAAAAAGCATTTGAGAGCATTAAACTCAGTTCGAATTTTAAAATCACCCGATAACTTCTCATTAGCTTAAAGGACTTGTTGATAGTTTATGTTCTCCATAGCGTGTTGTCATTCATGTTTAAATTTTGACGGTTTTCAAGATTGTACACCCACAAGTTCTTGCCAAGCTGATTGACGCTTTAACGTCTAGTAGCCTGTCTTTTTCAAAAATGCTACCATTTAATTCCCTGACTCACAAGTTTGGCTCAACTATTGGACTATACTAGTCATAATTACAAAAATTGGCATATTAGAGACAGAAAAGAGGCCTATTTTAAGACAATGGTCCTAACAAGCAATTCACGCATCTTATTTTTCGAATTTTATTCACACTTATTAAAATTATTTTCAAGTTCTAATTATAAGAAACAGCGGAAAGTCCAACCAGCGTCAAATCGAGGGAAATAAAGCGAAAGCTGATGTCAAGGGAAACAATGTGGGAAATATGTACTTACTAAGTACTTTACTCCTAATTTGCAGCAATTATATTTCAACTACCGGGGTGTGCGATAGACTTACCTCCACTCGGTGCACCCTGGGCAACGTATACTCATACGGCAAAAATGTCTATTAACCGGCAATTGACTTCAAACTACCATCACCCCACTGTATGTCAAATTCGACTATTTTCACAGTACTCACCTCACCTTTTTTTCTACCTTTGTGTTTGTCTCTTTTACATCTTTGCAACACTCTTCTGTCCCCCCCCCATTTCGACCTTTTTCACTTTGGTGTTCCTTCCCATCTGTGAAGCCTGAAGTCAACTAAAGGGCTAATGATAACTTTCACACCGCCTGCCATTTGATATAAATAAAGTTTTCCTAAATTTGTTCATTTTTTGCAAGTTTGAAATGAGCTAAACGGAAAGCTTCTCCATACACGAAGACTGAAAATATCGGCAAACGTCAATTATTCACTAGGAAATCCAGTAATTCACAGTCATTTTTTTGAAAGCTACAGCATTATTATAGAATGCTCTCATATCGATTCAGGCACTTTTGAGATGAACTAACAAAACTCAATACCACAAGTTCAATCCTGTTTCATATGCGAACATGAACTTATTTTAAGTGGTTTTTCCCACATTTCATAATTTTAAAACTCAAATTAGCCGTTTAAAGCACTTCACAATTGACAAAAAACCGACATCAGTATCTCAGTTGTTCTATTTTTCATTTTTGGATCAACAATATCCCCAAACTTCTCTTTTGTTCAAAAATGGTTTTTCCTTAATAAAATTGCACTAATTCACCCATTGTTTCCAGTCTTGTGAATTTGCAATTGTTTTTTTTGCATTAAAATAGGCAAGCTCTTTGAGTAATCCTGGAAATTGTTCTAATAAATTTGAGCAAAACATGACAGGGGTTTGGCAATGCTCTCTTCTCCCCCTCCCCCTCCCCTCCCCCTCCCCCTCCC